AAGACGGCAAATATTGTGATGTGGCGTGTTCAGATCGCTCCTGTGCATTCCCGAACCCAATAAAAGGATTCGTAGGATACATATCCAATGAAATTGCCAAGCCTGTGGGACTGGACGTGAGAAAACGTACGAAGAAGTGGAAAAATTGGAGGGACAAAAAGGAGTGGGGATCAAATAGAGAGAAGGGCATCCCAGACCAGCTCATAAATTGACCATTGCAAGACTTAGCATTAAATATAATAAATCAAAAATAAAACCTGCTGGACATTTTCAACTCTGAATGTAAACTAAATCAACGACTTTGCTTGTTTCCAGCAGGTGATGCAAGTTTTTGACAAATTCAGAGAAAGATAATTTTCCCCAGTCCCCCTGTCCTTGTCACAAAGATTGCACCTTTGCAGCTACTTCCTCTCTGACAATAAATACAAATACAAAAATAATTTGTAACTTTTAGATTTTTTGGATTCGATTATTCGTCGATTCAGTTAAAAAACGTATTTACATCCATGATCATATTCTTGCAAAGGCAGCTTGAGAGAGAAAGTAGCTAATTATGCTGCTTAGAACCACTCCATCTAAATTTGGCCCCTTTCTGCAAACTCTGCAAGCTTGAATTTATTTGTTTGAATGATGCTGTGTATTAATGACGCAATAGTGCCACCTGGCGGAGAAGATAAAGACATACAGTTTTAACCAGTCATATTCAAATTGGCAATTCAATAACCAGGCTGCTTGAAAATGGCGGGGAACTTTACTTTTAGATGTAGAAACATGAAGTGCTCATAAAATAAAGACAATAACGTTTTCAATTTTTGTCGGTCTCTCCTCTGATTGTTATTTTAAGGATGTTTGAAAAGGCATAAAGAGCTTTAGCAGCAGTTTCTACTTTTAAAAACCTTGGCACTGTGGCAGGCTGGCAACCTGTCCAGGGTACACCTCGCCCTGTGGGGCCTGGGAAAGGCTCCAGCCCCACAACTTTCGTGATAGAAACTTATTGTGTTTTCAAGGATAAGCCCCCCAGTACTCCTGTCTACTTTCTTCATCTAGTGACTATTCCCCTTTTGTCTTTGCTAACCGCTTCATTTGAATACTCTCCTGTACTTCCTTATTGCACCACCAAATCTCCTCGTCCTCTTTCCTTCTTGGCAGTTTCCCTCAGCACTTCATTTGTGCTCTCCCAGTTATCTGATAACTTTTTCCTGCAACCCAGAGCGTGTTTCAACTCCTCCCTGTACTCTGTGCAACATTCTTGCTTCTTCATTTCCCACCATTTAATCATTGAAGCTACCTTCATGTGCTTCCTTTTTCAAAATCATCCTACAGATTACTATCTAATCTTTCCTTGCTGCATTCTTACCTGTAAATGCATCATTTCTGTTACTGTTACATGAGGAGAGAACTTAATCTAAGGACGGCAAATCAACAACTGTTTGTTTGTTTTCAGCATTCTCATTCCATTACTTTTGTTAGTGCTGCTTTGTAATTCATCATGATGTTACTGAACATGTCATAATTAAATTGAGATACTTGAATTGAGTTGAATAAAATTGATCAGAGTTTTAACAATAGCTGAAAGCTAAAGCTTAACCCCCCCCTGCTTTGGAGGAATGTTTTTCTTCAGATTGATTATTTTTACTTTTGATATTATATACACAATTTTCTAGCGAAGTGATGAGTTTTAATATTACTTTTGTGCCAGCCCCTTTGTGGAACAGCACATAGCTTGTTAGCTAATTAAAAACATGAGTTGTGCCTTACATATGAGAAAGGCTGAGAGCAGATCATCATTTTTGTTTACTTGGGAGGAGGATGTGCGAGTGAAGACATCACCTTATTGGTACAGCTGTCTTTGTCACAGGTAAGACAGCCATCCAATCTGGTAGCATGGCATAAATACAAATCCCCCATTCACTTTCTAGCTTCATACTCATGATCCTGTCTGATACTCTTAACCTCCACAACACCATGAGTACACTCTTCCTTCAAGAATACCCTACCCTATTTGTTTTCCTACCTGCACTATGGTAGAACACTTTGAATCCCTCTTCACTGTACCTGGTTTTGCTTCCCTGCCACCCGATCTTCTGCACACAGATTAGCTTCCTCCGTTCTCTTAATTATATTAGCCAGGTCTCTATCTATATACCAGCCATATCCCCCACATTTAAATTCCTTAATCAGGGCTCCAACCAATCTGGTATGGAAATCTCATTTTGATGATCCACATGTTTGATTTGGCAAAAGCTTTTTTGTCAGATGCCTTTTCCATACTCAGCCCCCTCACCCACTGTTTATCTGGACTGTTTATATGGACTATCGTTGCCAAGTGCTGGCTCAAAGAGAGTGTTCTGATTGTTGGGGTTTTCTGTGTATTATTGTTTTAAAAAAGAAATGATCATTTATCTGGCTCATTTGTGCTTTTTAGCATGTGTGTGTGTTTTACAGGACAGAAATTATTTCATATGAACGCCAAATCTTATCCAACTACTGGGAGCCTGGTTCACGTGAGTAAATCTGTTGTGGAGACATTTTACCAAAAATGTCCCCATGGTGTTGCTAGAGAGGTCACAGGATCAACAGAAGTAAAAGTGAAAATAAAATACATTGTGTCACCGTGCCATTCAGGTATGCTGATAAACCAGATACTGTAGAGTATAACTGTTGAGTGTACAACTGCCAGTTTGTCATGTAAACGAGTATGAACAGAGACTGGTTTTTGTAAGAGTGTTCTTGCCAGACACTGGATGCCTACTGCTATTAAATCACTGATTTCACTACAGCATTTGTGTGTTTTAAGTTCACAGCAGTGCTGTTCCTGTATTTAGAAAAGTTGTAATAGAAAAATGGCTGCACAATTATCATAAATCAACTTTCATGGCAGATGAAGGCCGGTACATCAAGCTGATGTCAAATTAGGTCTGGAATGAGTACGACGGCAATGACGATAACCAGCTCAATGTTTTCAGTTACATGCAGGCAAAAAGTACAAGTTGAGAAAAGAGAAGGATTGTACTGTAGATGTATGGAAAAATAACGGATGAACTGACTGTTTATTAAAAACTCAAACATTGGCATATTAAAGACAAAGAACATGAAGACGGAGGTCAAATGGCTGCTGCTGTGGATGCGATTTTGCCTCTGCTAGCCTTTACTGCATAGTTACAAGCATTGATATGCCTCCCAAATTCAGTGTTTCTTTGTTTGCACTGACTAGCATTGCCATGGAAACACAAGGAAGTGAAATTAGACAAAATTTTCGAGGGTAGCTGTACCAAGGAGCCCAGTCCACCAGGCTGTGAAAGGATGATAAAACCCAAGACCAAAGGCAGCACAACATCATCTCTCTGGGGCTGAGAGAACTACAGTCTGCCATAAAGTTCCTGAGTGTTCTTTCAGTCTCTCACATCTTTCAGAGAAACACTGCAAGTTTTACCTCAACTTGTACACAATCACCACACATGAGCCTCCCTCCATATGAGAGTAATCTGATGTCTATGGCTGTTCCCTCAAAAGCAAAAGCAAAAAGTAGTTTCTATTCCATTTTCTTACACAGGTGGAGTGTTAAAGATTTATAGAGCTGATGAAGGGGAAAAAAATTGAGTCAGGAAAGAGGAGGAGAGAAAGGAGAGTGTGAGACAGATGGAGGAAAAGCATTAAAATTTTGATTGGATTTATACAGTTTTGTGCCAGTGCAGCAACCATATAACCAAGGCAAATAACAGCAGACACTCAGAATCTCACTAGTACTTATACAAAAATATATGAGAATATATATACAGTGCATTGCAGTCTGAGTATTTGCAGAGCAACACATTTTATTTTGGTATGTTAGTTTATCAAAGTGCTGATTTTATTCTTCAAAAGTATTCGTATTTGCACTGAAAGTAAACCGGTAGAGCTATTTCATGGACTGTTATTGGCCAGAGGTCACCAACAGGCAGACTGCTATCCTATACGGACCTACAGCCAAAACAGAAGGTTATGATCTAGGTTCGGTGACTGAAGAAATGCACAGACCAACTTGATGCGAGTTAAGCCATCCCACGTGATACCAGTCAGCCAATCAACTCAGTGCATTCCAGGTGGTAAACACTGACTCTACAGTGCAGACAGAATGAGTAAGGTACACATGAAAAGACAGTAGACAGAAGTGATGTAAAAAGAAGAAAGGAGAAATACAGATGACTGCAATGAGTAATGTTAAAAAAAGATACAGGTGACACGAAGAAAGGAAAGAAAGAATAAGGAACAAATGGTGCTCTGCCAGTAGAAAAGTAGAGTGAAAATAGACCAATGAGTAAATGCTGGGGCTCTCCTGATGCATTTTGTTAATCTTGAAGATGATGTGGACCTGAAAGAGCAGATTGTGTGAGATGACCCTTCCACTTTTAGTGCCCCTGTGCATTTCAACTATATTTGTCTCCACACAAAAGCGAGGCAGTTTTCTTCACAGTTAACATAATCAAAACTAGATATAGTTCTCAATTCATCAATGAGCACCTCCTCATGTGTGTGAGGATGGCCCTGATTACATCCAAGGCTGACAGGACTAAGATTTACACCAATGTACAGTGATTTGTATGTAATTTTAGAGGACTCACAGTCGTGTGCTCCAATCCACACACAAATACAAAGCAATCTGACCACATGTTAAACTGTTTTACAAATGAGTACATGAAAACCTAAATAAATACTCATCATTCACGCACAAGTTCTGCTCACAAATGGATAATTTTCTCTATAAAAACCCTTTCTGTGCATACAAATGTCAGAAACTACACGTAACACCTCTCCTCGCTCACAAAACCTTGAATACGTGTGCACCACTCACCTGGTACTCACAGATGATGTCGCACGCCCACGTGGGGTTTTCAAGCAAATTTTATGCTGTCAACTTTGCACAGATCCACAAATGTAAGCTGCCTGTATAGATGATTTTTGTTTGTTTATTTCAAATAAAGTGGACACTTGTAAAGGCAGAAAGTAAAAGAACAGTAAAGTAAATGTAAAAGTTTATTTATGTAGCATATTTTACAGACAGATGTCACAAAGTGCTTCACAAGAGAGGTATCAAAAACACAATACAGTCATAAATACATCATACAAGCCCTGGTCTAATTAAAAGATTTTCAAAATAAAAATGTCTTTAGCTGCTTTTTGAAGGTCTCCACCGAGTCCAAACGCTGTACAGATAGAGGAAGTGCATTCAACAGTCTGGGTGCAACAGCTTGGAAAGATCAGTCCCCTCGAGTTCTGAAACAAGTGTGGTGGACCACTTGTCTAAAACTAGGTGGAGTCCAACTGAAAACTTTTGCATGTGTGCGTTTAAAAAAAACAAAAAAAAGTTTCTGCTGTTCAGTCATCTCCACTTCGACTGGTGTTCATAGGCACTGATTCACCCCACAGAGATGGCCCTGACTTGTTTCCCAGTGAGCCTTTACTTCTGCACATCGTGACTACGAGTAGCAATAGGACTAAAACTAAGACGATGAGAATTACAATAGCTATTATTATATAAGTCCTTGTGCTACATTCAGAATCGGCATTAGCATCACCTGCAAAGAAGAAGACAAAGAAAGGTATTTCCTCATGATCTTTTGATATTTACTGAGAAAAATGACGTGTTAAGGGAAGTGTGTCAAGACATGCCTACCTTCCGTGAGAACACTGACATTGAAATGCCCTGACTTTTCCACTGCAACTTTTCTCCACCCACGAGACAGAGAAGGCAGCCACTCCTCTACCTCACAGAAATACAGGCCACTATTATCAGGACCAGGATTCAAGAAGGTGAGGCTGAATTGGCTGGGGTCAGGGTGGTCGTATTTCAGGCGAACATTCTCCCCAAACCTGTCCTGTAGAGTCGAGTTTCTGTAGACTGTGAATATGGGGCGCTGTTTCGTTTCTATTTCTTTCTGCCAAAACCATGTGACCTGGAACTTGGATTCATGGCTGGATTGTTTGTTGATGTTACAGGGGAAAGTAAAATCCTGGTTTCTGCTTATATTCATCGCTGCATCCTCCTTTGGAATAGAGAGATTGTTTTCTGTGAATACGCACAAGGATAAAACTTTTGTTTAACAAGGTATCAGGTTCCTGAGTGTTCTTTCAGTCTCTCACATCTTTCAGAGAAACACTGCAAGTTTTACCTCAACTTGTACACAATCACCACACATGAGCCTCCCTCCATATGAGAGTAATCTGATGTCTATGGCTGTTCCCTCAAAAGCAAAAGCAAAAAGTAGTTTCTATTCCATTTTCTTACACAGGTGGAGTGTTAAAGATTTATAGAGCTGATGAAGGGGAAAAAAATTGAGTCAGGAAAGAGGAGGAGAAAAACATCCATGCAAACATAAGCTACAACATTAAGAACATTAACATTCCAACAGAACACTTCTAAAACTGTGATCATACCTGTTACTTTTACACTGACTTTGATAGCACCACCACTGTCTGAGGCCTTCAGCTGCCAGTGAGCTTCATTATCCAGCTGGTATTGATCCACTTGGCACCAGTAGGTTCCACTATCCTCTTCATGGGCTTTCTGAATACTTAGGTAAAAGCTTTTCTGAGTGGGTCTGGACAGGCGTAGCCGCTCCTGCAGGCCTCTGATGTCTTTGTTCTCTGGGTAACTCACCAGGCCGGTGTGATCAAGCTCCACCAGGGAGGCTTTCTTCAAAGAAGAACTGTGTGCAGCATAATGCCAAATGACTCGATAGAAAACCAAAGAACCAGAAGCTCCTGAGGTGATGCTACAGTTGAGCTTGACTTCATCTCCTTCTTTGGCAGTCAGCTGCTGCTCTTTCTTATCTAAACGAAGGTTGGGGGCTAGAAAATAGAAATAAGAAGATGAAGTTATATATTTCTAAATGGCATGTTTCATTTATTTTTGTGCTTATGCCACATGCCATATACAATATGGCATGTGAAGTAATAAAGTAATGAAAAATAAATGTATTCACCAGGCTCAGTAATTGTTAGCACTGTGCTTTTGGACACTGTTGAGAGCAGATACCATTCACCACGAGGATCTTGAAGCCACTCGCCCACTTTGCATGTATATAAACCTTTATCTGAGATTCGAGCTTGCCAAATAATCAGTTCAAAAGTGGGTCCTTTGCTGCGCCTCATGCTGATTCGCTGACGCAGGTCCACCTGGGATTCCGTTACTATGGAATTCCGGTCCAAGCTTGCAATGGTCTTATTTCCGGCATTTTCCTCATGCAGCCAGGTGATCGAATAAAGTGATGATTCAGACGTTTTTGTGACGATGGAGCATGTTATTGTTATGTCAGTGTTCATGTTTGTTGTCAGCGCAGGAATAGGTGACACATCAAGCCTGCTTACTAGAAAAGAAGACAACATTTTCATTATTTTCTGAGGAAACAGGGACAAAAATGACTCTTTCTATTTAATGATGCCCCAAAATGGCTGCAGCTGGCAGTACCTGGGTTGTTTACTATCACAGAAAGCTGATTGGATGCTTTCAACTCCTTGTGCACATTCTTCAGTAAGACAGACACATTACACTGGTAGCTTCCTCCTTCTCTGTGGCTGGTACCAATGACCAGCAGATAGTACATGACTTCAGTTTTTCTGCTTTCTACTCGTAGCTGGTAGTGGTTCTGATCTGCAGACCAACTGATGGTGCCATCAGGGGAAAGTGTCAGGATGGTGTCTGGTGTTTTAGCCTCACGTTGCACGCTCCAAGTCACTGTTACCGGCATGTGTGGACCTTTGACCCGGCACATCAACTCCAATTTTTCTCCAACA